AGCCTCCCAAGTAGTTTTTATTAAGCCATCTGTCTCAACTCATCACTCATCCAATGGTTGTGTTTGCAAAAAAGTGCCGATCCCTGTGCCAAGCTGGGGATGTAGCGGTGAGCAAAGAGACCTAGTCCTGCTCCTCATGGGGTTTACTGTCTAGTGGGGAGACAGACATCAACCACATTATAACATATAGGTGCAAAATTGTAGCCGTGTTCAATATTGGGTAACATTTTAAGGAGAGGTGCAGGGTGCTTTGAGAGCCTTTCATAGGGAACCTGACCTCAACTGGGGATCAGGGAAGGCCTCCTTCTCGAAATGATGACAGAGCGAGTAGGAAAGGAGGGAGGGCGCATCAGGTGAGGCCCAGAGGCAGAAGTGAGCTCGATGGAGTGTGTAGGGGTGGTGAGGAGGCAGGCCTGGCAGGGTGGAGGCTGCTTGCTGGAGAGGAAAGGGGGTGGGTAGGGAGTTATGTTTGGGAGGCTTAGGAGTTTGGGGAGCACGGAAGGGCTAGAAGCAGAGGGGTAACGTGGTCCTGTTGGCTGATGGGAAAGTTCCCGAGGTGCAGCATGGAGCAACAGCTGGGAGGAAGTTGCTATCAGTGGGAAGACTAGATGGGTGCAGTTTTTCAGTGAGGGGTGCTAAGGCTGTGACCAGGACAGAGGCTGGGGACACCCCTGGCACGAGGCCTGCAGGTTCTGTCATAGCCCTCAGTCCTGCCTTTGCTCTCTCTCTAGGGCTCCCTCTTGGTCTCTTCAGAGCAAGTCATTCCTGGTCTTAAGGTGCAATGCCCAGGAGTCAAGACTCGCCCTCTGGTCCCAGCTCAGTTCCTTCCAGTCTCTAAGCCTCATTGTCCCCCTCAGCAAACACATTGAGACAGGTAGATTCAACAGTGCCTGCAGTCCCTTCTGGCTTGGAGGTTGCCTGATTTTGTGATTTTATGGTTCCATTTCTCTCTCCACTCTCTCTCTCCCCCTCTCTTTCCTTCTGTGTATATAATTATTTCCATGCACTCTAAGACAATCCCAAATTACATGTAGACAAAATGATTATTAAACCTCAGGGAAAAACCACAGATTTCAAGACATCCAAAGCAGAGAGAAAGACTAGGGCCTGCTCCACACCTGCTCTCACCATTGGCCCAGGAAACGAGGCACCAGGGAAGGGCAGTAGGGATTGTGGACTGACCCAGGGCCCCCACAGAGAAGCTGCGTACCCTCGGGTACCTGGCTTCCCTTTCACATCCTCACTATGTCATTCATCAAGTGGTGTGACCTGTCTCACCTAATAGATTGGGCCAGATTTGTCTGTGGGCCTCATAGCCAGTTGGCTTTTAGAACCTCTTCTGGTTTTGTTCTTTCTGGAAACAGCCCTACTTTGGGCAAAATAGGTACTGTCCATGTGCTAGGTTTTGAAAGGCCCAATGTGTCCCATTATTCTGCCATAGACACTGGAACTTCTGCCACAGACACTGGACCCACATCAGAGGGTCATTCCTTTGGTGCAGAACTAATTCCCACTGCTCTTGGGCCTGGTGCCGGGGCATGATCACATGTTAGCCCCCAACGGTGCATTGTGGATGTTGGTAGTCTGCCTTGTTCCATATGCTGTCCAAAGTGCATTAACTCATTAAATCCTCATGACAGCCCTATCAAGTAGGTATTACTAGAATTCTCCTTTGATGATGAGACTTAGGCACAGAGACGTTGAGTAACTTGACCAAGGTCACACAGCTGGTAAGCAGTGAAGCCAGGGTTGGATCCCACGTCTGGCTCCAGAGCCTAGGTTCTTAAGTGTTTAACTATATTGACTCTGTGATGTAAAACACATTCATATCTGTTAAATTTTCTTTTTCTTTTTTTTCTTTTTTCTTTTGAGACAGAGCCCCTCTCTGTCACCAGGCTGAAGTGCAGTGACACAATCTCAGCTCACTGCAATCTCCGCCTCCCGGGTTCAAGCGATTCCCCAGCCTCAGCCTTCTGAGTAGCTGGGACTACAAACGCACACCACCACGCCTGCCTAATTTTTTTTTTTTTTTAGCAGAGACGGGGTTTCACCATGTTGGCCAGGATGGTCTCAATCTCCTGACCTCGTGATCTGCCTGCCTCGGCCTCCCAAAGTGCAGGGATTACAGGCATGAGCCACCGCGCCCGGCCCGTATCTTAAATCCTCACCCTGGGTGAGGAGGGGAGTGTTACTTCCTTTTACAGGACAGGAAATCAAGCCTCAGAAAGAGATAATCATCTGCCTAAGGTCTCTCAGCCAAGAGGTGGCAGACGTGGGACTCGGGAATGCAGGCCTCCCTCTTTCTCTTTCCTCCATCCCCCCAGGTTGGAACCAGAGAGGGGTGTACTAATAAAGAAGAGGAAGGGCTTCTTGGGTTGGGGGAGTGTTCCAGCCTGAAGGCTTGGGCTCCTGCCACGTGTACCCTGGATCTTCCCTGCTGCTGGGCCTGAGGCCCAGTGGTGCTCATCCTCACTAAGCATCAGGAGACCTAGCTTCTGGGCCCAGCCTGGCCTCAGCTGACCCTGCGAGGTCACAGCCAAGTCATGCAACTCCAATTCCTAATGGGATTCTGCCCCGCCCTCAGGCAGCAAACTCCACAGCTCTGGCTTGATCAGGGGAATCTCATTTGAGGGCATAGCTGCCCTAGAGGTGATGGGGCCTCTCCTGAGGTCATCAATGCCTTGAGTTGCTGGTCTTCACCCAGCTTAAATCTCCCGGTGCCCTAAGCTAGTGGTTTTCAAAGCATGTCTCTGGACCAGCAGCAGCAGCACCTGGAGGTATGTTAGGTAGGCACCTTCTCCAGCACCACCTCAGACCTGCAGAACCAGAAACTCTGGGAGTGAGCTGAGGGACACTCAAGTCTGAGGACCCTTACCCTAGGCCAGCGCTCCCACCAGCCCTCAAGTGGAGCTTGGGTTGAGCAAGGGCTTCTGGGAGATAGGAGTTTCTCTGAGGTTCCTTTGGTGCAGGAAGGCATCATCCTGGGAGAAGCACAAGAAGAGGTGGCCTGATTGGAGGGTAGGGCCCTATCCCCACCACCTGCCCAAGCCCAGCAGTCACAGCAGCACTTCATGATCATGTGCACTTTTGCAGGGGGCCACAGAGGGAGATTCTCAGCTTTCCAGGGACTAGCACCCAAGACTCCTCATCTGTAAACACAGGAGATAATGATCTCATGGGTGGAGGTGAGCACTCGAAAGTGTGGTGCATCATAGGTGCTCAGAGATGGGAGATGGTGTCATTTTCTTCCCCAGTGCTTCTCAGAGCCCTTTTGCTGCCCTTCTCACTGTTATTCATGAAGCTCTCATAAGGTTGGCTGGGATTGTCATGCTCACTTGGTGGTCTGGGATTGTCATACCCACTTGGCAGTGAATGAGGTTGAGGTCCAGAGAGGTTCTGTGACCTGCCCAAAGACACACAGAACAATGTCAAAGCTAAGTCTGGAATCCCGATGTCCAGATTCCTCCAGCTCTTCTGGAGGCCTCATCCCACTCCTGTCCTGGGCAATGGTTGAGGGGGCCATCCCGAGGCATCAGCACTCAAGCAGCTTCTCAGAGTCATTCCTATAAACAGAGTCCTAGAATCTCAGATGTGGAAGGAACCTTGGAAGTAAACTAGTTCACCCACCCTCTCTGCATACAGACTGAGCAACTGAGACCTAGAGAGGGAAAATGGTTGACCAGGTCTCCTTCATCCAGCCCCTGACTCCTGACCAAGTAGTCTTCCCACTGGCCCAAACCACTCTGGCCATCACTTTTGTCCTTGCTTTCCTCTCACTTTGGGGCACTCACTACCCCAACGCCTTGCCAAATACCTAGCACATCCCTGGACAGCATCAGTCCTCAGCAAATGTTTATTGAATTAAGGACTTACTGAGTTAATTAATTAATTGCCTGCTCTGACCCCAGGTGAAGGGCACTGGAAAGGCGCTGTGGGCTGGATTCTGATCTGGATAACTCACTGTGGATCTCTTGGTCTCCGTCACTCTGACTCTTGGCATCTCTGCTTTGTTTTCATTGTTTTTCTGTTTTGTTTTTGGTTGGAATCTTCTCTCTCCCTTCTCTTGCTCTGTCCCGTCCCTGTGTCTCTGACTGAATCTCCCTCTTTCTCCCACTGTCTTCCTCCCTGATTTATGTGCTGACAGTGGCCACCCAGGCAAGGGAGTATCCCAAGGCAGAGCCGCCTATATAGAAGCTGAGGGCTTCACTTTATGCGAGGCAGGCCGGGGTGGAGTGATCTCCACAGCTGAGCTGCCCCCTGAGTGCATTGAACAAGCAACTCTGGGCCCAGAATAGATAGCTTCTTTATTGCTTATCAAATAATGCTTGCTTTATTCCTTCTCTCAACAAGCCAGGATTGATCTCCACTTGTCAGTGGGCAGGGAAGGGGAAGGAATGAGGAGGCTCTCGGAGACGGAGATGGGGGTGGGGTGACCCCGCCGGTGCTGTACACCCGGTGTTCTTGCCCTGATGGATGGTGGAGACCCAGGGGCGACAGTCACAGGCCAGCTGCAAGGTCTGGTCCAGGATGCTTTAGAAAGCCCACACAGGGTCTTCCTTGTGATCACCCACATCATTTCCTCTCTGAGGGTGTGTGGGCTGCTCAGCTCCTTGTGGAATGCGCTTGCTGGAGGCCCTCAGCCCCTCTGAGATGGCCCCCTCTCAAACTAAGGAAGATTCATCCCTGATCACCAGGGCTGCCCCCAGAGCAGCTGCTGTGTTTGGGAGACAGGGGTGAGTGAATGGATGGTGTGCAGGGCTGGAAAGCAGTTCCCTCTCCCCCAGGACACTGAAAAAGCTCTGTCCAGCCTGATCTGATTTGGGCCCTCCACAGGGCAAACCAGCCTGTGACCTCCAGGCCAGTCACCGTCCTGCAGGCTCTCCCCTGTCCGGTATGCTCACCAGCCAGGGGTTCTACAGGGACGGGACAGAGACACACACACCTGGCTGACGCAGGGACCCACCTGGCCCCTCTCATCTCCTCTCCCCTTTCCTGGTCAGGTGGTGAGCCAGATCGATAAGCTAACTTCGGACTTCGACTTTGAACTGGAGCCGGACGACTGGACCACAGCCACTGTGAGCAGCACCTCTAGCAGTGACAAGGCGGGCGTGGGCGGCCCCTTTGACCTGGGCCACCTGGACTTCATGACAGCCGATATCCTCTCAGACAGCTGGGAGTTCTGCTCCTTCCTGGACGTCTCTACCCCCTCGGACTCCGTGGACGGTCCTGAGTCGACTCGGCCAGGGGCTGGCCCTGACTACCGCCTCATGAATGGTGGCACGCCCATCCCCAATGGGCCACGAGTGGAGACCCCAGACTCCTCCAGCGAGGAGGCCTTCGGTGCTGGCCCCGCAGTGAAGAGCCAGCTGCCCCAGCGGACCCCAGGGACGCGGGAGAGGGTGCGGTTCAGTGACAAAGTGCTCTACCACGCTCTGTGCTGTGACGATGAGGAGGGGGATGGCGAGCAGGAGGCGGAGGAGGAGGAGGTGGGCTTGCCCCCAGAGCCTGCCCATACAGAGGCCCACGCAGGCCTCCACAAGCCCTCCCCAGCCCCCTACAAGTCACGGCGCTCTCCACTGACCAGCCGCCGCTCAGGCTCTACCTTGGCCCCTGAACAGACTCGAAGGGTCACGAGGAACAGCAGCACCCAGACAGTGTCAGACAAGAGCACACAGACGGTGCTGCCTTACACAGCCACTAGACAGAAAGCCAGGGGGAAAAACTAGGGGCTGGGGAGGGGGCCAGGGCGGTGGGCACATAGAGCTATAAATATATATATATATATATATTTAAACAAATGAAGTCATAATAAAATTTAAAAATGCTAAGGATCCGGCCCCACAGGCCCCAAAGCTTTCACAGAGCTCCTCTTAGACATGAAGATGCCCACTGGCCTCCTAGGTCCCAGGAGGTGTGGGCAGGACTGCCCTTCCTCCCTTCTCATTGTGGGGCTCCTGAAGGGGGTGTCTGAAAGTATGTAAATCTTATGGGAGGTCTGATCCTCCTCTTGCTAGCCCCTGAACTCTGTGGTGAAGTCTGGCTGCTGGCCAGGGCCATGTCCTAGAGAGGACTCCCCTGCAGGAGGCGGGCTCTAAAGGGAGTGGTGTCCCTTTAGGCCAGGGTTCACAGTCAGGGTGGTTTGAAGACTGCAGGACTCAGGGCCTGGGGGTGGCATCACTCTGGCCAGGCCCTGCATCACTTGCACCCGCCATCTTTCTACTCCAAGGCAGACTTATTCTGCGATACATAGCCCTGCCTCACCCTCTTCTATCTTAGGGTTGCCTGGGATATAGGGGCATGGCAAGCTGCTCCCATGGCACAGTCCTCCGTGCTGGGATGCTGGGCATCCACAGAGCCTGGAGGATCGCCTGGGCTGGGCAGGGGTTTGATTGGAGGGTCTGGACCATCCTCAATCCTTTCAGCTTTGATTTTCAGCCTGGTCCTGAGACCAAGAGCAAAACCTCAGGGCAAAGCCTCAGCCAGCCCTGGCGTGGCCCTAAGCGGACCTGAGATCTGTGCGAGGAAGTAGGCAGCCACTTCCGTGGGGCTACAAATTAGAGCCATAGACAGGCTCCTGGCCACCTTCACCAGGTGGGCAGCCTCGGAAAGGAGCCCAGTGGCCCCCACTCTGTCCCCACATCTCCACACCCAGCCCCTGAGCCCACCTCAGCAGGTCCTGAACAAAGACGAGGTGACAGCCTAGAGGCACCAGGGCTTCATCTGAAGCATGGTCCGCACAGGGACAGCAGCTGAATATCCTTGGGATAATAATCACAATTATATTGCTCACATTTATTGAGCAGGTCTCTATGCTACTTCTATGCCCAATACTTTTTATAGCATCATCTCATTTAATCACCACAATAACCTGACAAGACAGGAACTATTATTAACCCCATTTTTCTTTTTCTTTCTTTTTTTTTTTTTTCTTTTTTTATTTGAGATGGAGTCTCGCTCTGTCACCCAGGCTGGAATACAGTGGGGCGATCTTGGCTCACTGCAACCTCCACCTCCCAGGTTCAAGCAATTCTATCACTTCAGCCTCCAGAGTAACTGGGACCACAGGCGTGTGTCACCACGCCTGTCTAATTTTTGTATTTTTAGTAGAGATGGGTTTCACCATGTTGGCCAGGCTGGTCTCGAACTCCTGACCTCAAGTGATCCATCAGCCTCAGCCTCCCGAAGTCCTGGGATTACAGGCGTGAGCCACCATGCCCCTGCCTGTCCCCGTTTTACAAATGAGATGACAGATTCAAAGTAGTTCGGTACCTGCCCCAAAGCCACAAAGCCTGTGCTACTCTGCCCCCAAGACTTAGTGGTTTCCAGGCTGTTCCTGGCTCAGCTAGCTAGCTGTGTGACCTTGGGCAAGTCCATTTGCCTCTCTGAGCCTATCTACCTCCCCTATATAATGGGTCTGGTAGTCTTCACCTACCTCACCAGCTGCTGTGGGGCTCCAACAAGATGGTGACTGTGAAAGCACTTGACAAACTGAAGGCACTGGACATGCCTTGTGGTCAGTGTGGCCTCAACCCAGATGTCCAGTGATTTCCAGGGCACAGGGGCTTTGAGTGGGGCCAAAGAAAACACCCTCATCCAACTGGGAGCCACCCCTGGGTCACAAACACTCCATTGCTTGGTCCCTCGCAGTAGCTCAAGGTCAGAAGATGACTGCCCCTTGCTCGGCGTGGGGAGGTGGGGCTGGCAGCACAGCAAGGACATCATTGTCCTCCCTGTTGCACATTTCAATTGAGGCAGGTTTACAGCCCCTCAGCGTCTATCCGGAGGGGGCCTGAGCAGCAGGCCTGGCAGCGTCCACTGCTCCTGCCTGAGGAGGTGCTATCCAGCCCTGGCCGTGGACATACAGTGAGATTGTACAGGCAAGTCTGGAGCAGTTGCAGGGGATATGATCTGGACAAGACTGAGCAGACCTAGGGAGCTCTACAGTGTAGGGCTTGTTCCTCAAGCTCATGGTGAGATCAGAGCCCTAAAGAGTTAGCCAGGGTGCAGCCACCAGTGTGGAAATCCAGGGATGGCGCAGGCCATGGCCAGCTCTTCCCAACTCAGGTCTGAGAACCAGGGGTCTGAGCCCCTCTATCAGCCCCAGGAAACCCTCAGGCATTTGATGCTGATCAGCGATAGGGCTCTGGTTCAGAGGATGAAGGCCAGGGGCTCCTCTGGGGAGAGGGGCCAGCTGCATTCTGCCCCACCCTGAGAGTGAGGAGGGGGCAGTCTCCAGGAACGGGCCCACCTGGTGCTGAGGATGGACATAACAGTTCTCCCTCTGAGGCTTGCATTTCATCTCTCATGGCAAGATCACTTTCAGGCTTACAGTTTCTCATCTTTGCAACAGTCAGGGAAAAGAAACCTACAAAATAGCTCCCATTTCACAGAGGAAGAAACTGAGAGCCAGAGCTAGGGATCTCTGATATAGCCATGGGATCCCCCACCCCACGCTGGCTCTATATGACTCTGTGGTCGTGGCTAATGTCCATCAGTCGCCCCCTGCTCCCCTCCCTGGCTGTTTGCCCCAAAATGGGGCAGTGGTGGGAGTATGTCCTGGAGGAGGGGGAAGTGGGATACAGGTAGTACTTGGCTGACTTCACAATTTTGCCACACTCAGTCTGGGCCTCCTGACAGTGGCGTGGGATCCCTATGGCTTCCCTGTTTTTTTTTTTTTTTTAGATGGAGTCTCGCTCTATTACCCAGGCTGGAGTGCAGTGGTGCAATTTCCGCTTACTGCGACTTCTGCCTCCCAAGTGAGTCTCCTGTCTCAGCCTCCTGAGTAGCTTGGACTACAGGCATGCACCACCACTCCCAGCTATTAATTTTTGTATTTTTAGTAGAGACGGGGTTTCACCATGTTGGTTAGGATGGTCTTGATCTCTTGACCTCATGATCTGCCCACCTCAGCCTCCCAAAGTGCTGGGATTACAGGTATGAGCCACCACACCTGGCCAAATTTTTTTTTTTTTTTTTTTGAGATGGAGTCTTGCTCCATCTCCCAGGCTGGAGTGCAATGGTGCGATCTCACCTCACTGCAACCTCCGCCTCCTGGGTTCAAGTGATTCTCCTACCTCAGCCTCCTGAGTAGCTGGGATTACAGGCACCCGCCATTATCCCCAGGTAATTTTTGTATTTTCGTAGAGATGGGGTTTCACCATGTTGGCCAGCCTCGTCTTGAACTCCTGACCTCAGGTCATCGCCTGCCTTGGCCTCCCAAATTGCTGGGATTACAGGCATGAGCCACTGTGCCTGGCCTTGTATTTTTTTAGTAGAGACATAGTTTCATCATGTTTGCCAGGCTGGTCTCAAGCTCCCGTCCTCAGGTGATCCTCCCGACTCAGCCTCCTAAAGTGCTGGGATTACAGGCGTGAGCCACTGCACCCGGCCCCGGTGGCTTCTTCCGACTTGAAACACAAAATGTGGCCAGCTAGGGATAGAGAGAATTCTGACTTTCAACATTGCTGAGCCTGGCATGGGCTGCTTCTGGGTAGTGAGCTCCCTATCCTTAGGGTAGACACAGCCATCCCTTGGGTCCTTCCTCCAGACCTTCCAAGTACAGCCCTTTGCTGCTCTTCCCTGCCTCCAAACCTTTGCCAGTTTCTGGGTTTCTTTATCCAGGATGTTCCATCAGATCTCTCTGCTTCCGGAAAGTCCTGTTCCACTGACCATCTACTGTGTGCACAGGCTGTGCTGAGTGGTGCTTTGGAGGGGTGAGAGGGAGCTGGAACCTGGTGATGGAGAGGATTCATAGCATGATGAATAACTCAAGTCCACTGGGCACGTGCTAGGCACTGGGCATTGTTCTAAGTGTATGTCTTATCTCATTTATTCCTCACAGCACGTATGAGATAAGCAATGTTACTTATGTCTAAGTAGCTTCCAGATGACGAAATCGAGGCTCTGGGAAGTGAAGCAACTTGCCTAAGGAAACACACAGGATGGGCTATGGAACCAGGATTCGACCCCAAACGCAGTGACTTAGCACTCAAACATCTACTGCAGTTAAAATGCCTAGAGTGGGTGGCCTGGTCACTGGAGGTGAGGGTGGGGGCTGGGTAGTCTGAGAGCCAGGCAGGCCTTCGGGGTGAGGGGAGTGTTGGGGTGAGGAAACATGTGAACATGCCTCAGTCTTTGGAGAACTTGGTTACTGTTAACCTGAATGTCACCACCCCTGACTCAAAGACTGGCACCAAATGGATTATGGGTTCAATAAATGTTTGTTGAATGAATAAATGAGCCCCATTTGTAGAGGGGTATCCACTGTGCATTCATTCAATCAGCTTTTATTGCAGACCTCCTGTGTGCCAGGTCTCATGGTGCTTGCACACACAGATACACACAACTCCCCTGTGAGGGTCTGGTCTGGTGTGTCTTGGGGCTGGGGAAAGTCAAAACTGAAGGGTGTGGCGTTTCGGCACTAAGGGAGCCATAGCTCTGCTGGGTCTAGCCTGGGATGCCAGAGAAAGGAACCAGAAGTGGGAGACATGTCAGCTTGGTGAGGCGACCACTCTGGGAGATGTCCTGGGAAGGGTGGGGGTCCCCAAGCTGACACTCCATTAACAGGGTGGGCACATTGCCATGTCCTTGGTGTCTAAGAATGAGGAGGCATCACTGTCTGTATTTTATAGATGAGGGACAGATGATGTCGTCCCCAGAAATGGTCTAATGGGATCAAGGGACAGAAAGGAGGGCAAACTATTCAGAGACCCCAGCACTATCCCCTGTCCTTAATGAGGCCTTGTCAACAAGAAGGGAAAGTAGGGTGTAGTGGGGCTGGGAATTCCAGAGGCAACAGGACCAGCCTTCCACCCACCCTGTCCACTGCTGA